AGCAAAATGGTAACATGAACAAAGCAAAAGAAACTAAGTGTTATGCAACTTTAGCTTTCATGTTGCCAAAGAACATTACACTGCCCCAGGGTGTGGTGTAGTGGGACAGGAAGACTAGGTTAAATGTGGGCTGGTAAAATGGATGAGTGGGTGAGTGGGTGGGTGGGTGAGTGGGTGGATGGGTGGGTGGAGAACAGGATGCGCCAATGCTCTGTGGAAGGCTGTAATTGTGGAGCTGCTTATTCTTTATAGACTTTCCAGCCTCAGAAGGAAAGAGAGAGATGAGGTATAAAGCAAGCCACTTCACCCACTAGACCCTAGCAGAGTTAAAATACTAATAGAGAAAGTGACAGTAACAGCTGAGTGAGGGAAGGGTAGAGTAAGGTAAGCTGTCCCTAGAATGGAGAAAAACACAGCCTGTTCAGGAGCCAAAGAGGTCACCTCATGGGGCTAGAGAGGTAGCTCAGTGGTTAAGGGCACTAGTTCCTCTTGCAGAGAACTCTGGTTCAGTTCCCAGCCTACCCACGGTGGCTCACAACCATCTGTAACTGCAGTTCCAGGGGATCTGACACTGTCTTTAGGCCTCCATAGGCACTGCACACTCATGGTACACTTACATACATGCAGTGCAAACATTCATACACCCAAAAATAAATCTTTTTTTTAAAAAGAGGCCCTCTTGGGAAACTTTAGGGGCTCTCTGTCTTTAAAAAGAATATAGATAATTGTACATATCTGTAATTCCAGCACATCAAAGGCTGGTGTAGGAGGATAGCCACGAGTTCCAGGCCAGCCTGGACTATATAGTGAGACCTTATCTCAAAAAGCAAAACAAATCAAGGGGATACAAATCACGGGAGATTAAGGAGATGTGTAAAATGTTTGTTGTGTAGACATGACAATCTGAGTTCAGATCCCTAGCACCCTTATAAATAGCCAGGCTTGGTGGGGTGTCTCTAACCCCAGTGCTGGGGGCTTGGACAGACTGGTTGATCCTGGAGCTGATTGGCTAGCCCACATAGCTCATTTGTGAGCTCCTGGTCCAACAGAAACCCTGTTTCAGAAAATAAGGTGTAGAGAGATAAAGGAAGACACCTACAGTGGACCTCTGGCCTACATGTGCCTGCACACACACCTGTGAATGAACACAAACATGCACACAAAAGATGCAAACAGCAATGTGCTACCAGAGGGAAGGACTAACCCTTTATTAGGAAAACAAATCCTTTATTAATGTGGTGGTCTGAATAGGCACAGCCCCCATAGACTCACGTGTTTGAACGCTTAGCCACTAATAGGGAGCGGCACTATTAACAGGTATGGCCTTGTGGGAGTAGGTATGGCCTTGTGGGAGTAGGTATGGCCTTGTTGAAGGAAGTGTGTCACTCTGGGGGCAGGCTTTAAGGTCGCCTATGCTCAAGCTACACCCAGTATTACAGACAGTCCACTTCTGCTTTGTGTAGAACTCTCAGCTCCTTCTCCAGCACTATGTCTGCCTGGACGCTGCCATACTTCCTACCGTGATGATAATGGACTAAACCTCTGAAACTAAGCCAGTCCCAATTAAATGTCTTTCTCTACAAGAGTTGCCATGGTCACAGTGTCTCTCCACAGCAATAAAACCCTAACCAAGCAACTTAACCTTTCAGCATCACAAGTAGAAAAGTGTCTTCTCTCCAAAAATTAGGTAGTGCACTCAGGCCCTGAACTCACAGTCATCCTACCTTCGCCTCCAGACTGCTGGGATGGCAGGCTTATAACGCCAAACCTGGTTTATTCAACATCTTCGGAGTGCATCTGCTTTGAATGTGAAGTGTCCCCTTACAGGTTCATGTATTGAGTGCTTGGTCCCCAGCTCATGGTGCTGTTTGAGGAAGTGGTAGAAGTTTTAGGTGACACGGAGCTGGTAGAAGTATGTCATTACGGTGGGAATGGCCATGTAGGATATACCTGGTGACTTCCTACTGTTTCCTCTCTATCATGAGAAGGCTTAGCTTCTGCCACATGGCATTCAAGGCTAAATTCAAGCTTAGAAGACAGGAAAAGAATTCCAGATCTTTTCTCCCCAACACCTTCATTCTTTCCAACATGGAAGAAATGTGGAAAAGTGAAACACGTATTCTCTTGAATGTTCCGTTTTCAGGAGAGAAGGAAAAGATATTGAACTGAGTTAGGCTAGACCTAGAGAAGGGGAAATGGTTAATGAACCCTGTCAAAGCAGATGACACAGGAATGGAAGATGGCAAACAGGGAGTAGGGGGTGGGGAGTGAGTTGTAGATAAAACAAGTCCAAAAGCTCACAAGCTGCAGGGATATTGGAAGGTGAACCACACACTGATAGCTACAGATAGCATGTCGAGAAGAAAATTTCCATCCCATGGCAAAGAAAGGGATTAGGGAATAGAGGTGTCCTCAGTTGATAGAGTACTTGCATGGCATGCTTGAAACCCTGTTTGATTCCCAACACCCATAAACTGGGTGTGGTGGTTTGAATGGGAATGAATCCCCCCAAAGGCTGACATATTTGAATGTTTGTGGAACTGACTGAAGAATTAGGAGCTGTATTGCTGGATGTGGGCTTTGAGGTTTCAAAAGCTCATATGATTCCCAGTTGTGTCTCAAGATGTGAACTCTCAGCTACTGCTCCAGTGCCAGTCTTGCCTGCCTGCTGCCATGCTCCCTGCTGTGATGGTCATGGACTCATCCTCTGAAATTTTAAGTCCCAAATTAAACATTTTCTTCTATAGTTGCCTTGTTCTTGGTGCCTTATCACAGCTATAGAAAAGTAACTAAGATATGCGGTGTGCTGGCATCCACCTGTAATCTCAGCACCATAAGGAAAATGAATTCACTGATATGCCGGGCTACACGGTGAATTTGAAGCCCGCCTGGGCTGAATAAAGATAAAAATAGAGAAGAGAGGTGTAACGGTCCTCGGGTCAGGGCCTAGCAAGAGAGAGAGTGGGGACGGAGACTCGAAGAATGGAGACAAGACAGGGAGTCTGACCAAGTCTCTTCAAGTCTCGCCTCAAGTCTTGCCTTAATTGAAAGGAAATCCTGGGTATATATAAGCATAAGCAGGGGAACGCAGCTAAAGACACTTTACCACGTGCACCCTGCAGCTGGGGGCACGAAACAGTGTAACAAGATGTTTATCAGAGTGTGCTCAGATGTTTCGGGCTGTTGAAAACAAGTCTCTTGTCAGGGTATATGGCTCGAGATGGCTCCAAAGATGATAGCCGCTTTCTGCTCAGAGTCGGCTCCCAACAGAGAGGGAAGAAAAGAGGAGAAGAAAAGGAACTGGGGGGATTTAATTAAGTAGAAGACATCTAATAATCAAGAAAGCTTCAAAGCTAGCCCGTCTGTAGCCCAGATTTGGGAAGCAGAGGATTATTTAGCTTAAATTCAGATGTTTAAGAACAACTAGAGCAATGCGGTAAAACTTCACTTCAAATAGATAAATAAATGCCAGTTGCAGTGGCATACACCTTTAATCCCTGCACCTGGGAGGCAGAGGCGGACAGATCTCTGTTAGTTCAAGGCCAGCCTTAACAGAACTAGTTTCTGGACAGCCAGGGCTATACAGAGAAATCCTGTCTTGAAAAAAACAAAAATAAAAACAAGCAAACAAATAAAATGGGTTGGAAAGATGGCTCAATAGTTAAGAGTAAACATACTAGGAGACTTCACAACCACCTGTAACTCCTGTTCCAGTGGATCCAAATCCCCCTTCTGGCCTCTTTGGATACCTACATGCATACCTACATGTGTGTGTACAACACACACACACACACATACAAACATAAGTAAAAATTAATTAATATTGGAGACTGAAAAGATGGCTCAGTGGTTAAGAGCACTGACACCTCTTCCAGAGTACCTGGGTTCAATTCCCAGCACCTACATGTAGTTTACAACTGTCTGTAACTCCAGTTCTAAGGGATCCGGCACCCTCACACACACACATACACACAAGCAAAACACCAATGCACATAAAAACAAATCTTTATAAAATAAATAAACCTCAGAAGCCATAGGAAAGGCCATATACCAAACCGTATTTGTCACTGAACTTGTGAATAACTGAGGAAGGAATAACTTAATAAGATCAAGTGAAGAAAGCCTTACTATAAGGTTTACTGCAGGTGGACCACACCAACGGACTAGTCATTTCAGTACAAATGCATAGCCTTCATTATGTTTGGTTAGAATCAGGTTTCTGTGCCCAGAGGAAAACATTGTTTATCGCCGTTATCAAAGTTTCCCCAGTCCTGGTTAGAGTTCAGGGCGCTGTTTAGGGACATGATCATGTGGACTAAAGAGTTACAGAAAAGCCCAATGGGGCTGTAGCTCCACAAGGAGCACTCCATGAGAAATGCATCCAGGACGGAGGGAAGTGGGAGCTATGACGTGTGTGGGGTCTGATGAAGTCCAGAGCTGCTAAATGTCTGAGGCAAAGTTTTCCTCCCATCCCCTCTGGCTGTTTCACACATGTCACAGTTCTCTTCTGGGGGAAAGTTTAGAGGCCTGGAAGACAGAGGGGAGAGAACAAGACAATTACACCTTTAAGAGTCCTCTATCGTCTCTTCCTTGTGTACTTGAAACCATGAACCTTAAGGAATGCAGCTTTGAGTCGGAAGCAGTATTTAAGGATTTAGACTTGGAAAGCTGAAACAATATGCTATTTAAGGTCAACTACTTTTTGTTCTGAAAAAAAAAAAAAGCAACATTGTTGGGAAGATTTATTACGGCAGGAAGGGAAAAACATTCTCCAAAATGGACAGGGACCCTGTGGATCTAAGGTGGGACCCTGTAAATAAAACAGTGGGTATATAAAAAAATGTGTAAACTTGTAACTTGGCTTTAACTTCTTTCTTTTTTGAGATTCCTTTTTTTTTTTTTTTAGATTGAGATCACACACAAACAGGAGGAGGGACACACCCAGCAGCTGTAGAAGCAGGAAACAGTTATTCTAAAACCGAAAGGGGGTGGGGGGGGGGAAGCATAAAAACTCAGAGTATCTCTGCTTTTTGTTCTGGGTAGCTTGGCTTTCGAAGTGGGCCTTTCTGTGTGTGACTAAGGATGGAGATGGTTGGCTTTCTGTGTATAGCACATCCGGGGGGGATTTTTGTAACCATGTCCTCTAGAAAACCCTGAGATCACCTTTCAGAAGTGTTAGGAACTAAAGAAGCGCTACAATCACTTCAAGCCAGAGGATGGCTAAAAGGGAGAACTGGCCTGGGCTTGGCAAAACTCCACTTGGTGTGGAGTCATTTAACTCTAACATTCACAGACTTTGAAGAATGAAAAAAAAAAAAAAAGGACGATCCTTCCCTCTCATATTTCCTGTGGGCATGCATAACTAAATGATGCCCACCGGTATTGTGTGTTTGGCTTCCAGAGATGCTGTATTCCCTAACACAATCCTGTGAGAACCAGCCAGTTTTCACAGAACAAATTACTTCTCTTTCAGGAAACCGAAACCCAGATGACAAACAACTCAGACCGCAGAGGGGTACTGCTTTCTTTCTGCTGCCACAGGACAGCGTCTGAAATAATGTATGGGTGAGTGCAGGTACCTGTGAGAGGAGGAGTGTAAGCCACAGATTAGTCAGACTGCCACATGTTTTATTGTTCTTTAAAAAGGATTTAAACCAGGCTGTGCACCTTCCTTCACTCAGACAGGTCTCGCACCATGTCAAACTGGCTTCAGCTAGCAATGTTTTATTTTATTTTATTTTATTTTTAAAGATTCATTTATTTAATGTATATGAGTATTAAGTATATTGGTATACTCTTACTGTCTTCAGACATACCAGAAGAGGGTATCATGTAGGTGCTGGGAATTGAACTCAGGACCTCTGGAGGAGCAGTCAGTGCTGTTAACCACTGAGCCATCTCTCCAGCCCCCAGCAATATTTTATTAAACCCGAAAGTAAAACTGTTTGAATTTCAAAAGAAAAATCCAGTTCTGAAAAGAATTAATCTTATTTTAATTTTAAACCAAAATGAAGGCTGTTTTGTGTTGCTTTACACACTCATCTCATACTACAGCACCTAGGGAATTCTAACTCAGGCAAGCATTCATACTGACAGGCAGTACATGAAGACCCTCACACATGAAAAAAAAAAAAAATATATATATATATATATATTATATTATATATATATATATATTCGAGACAGGGTTTCTCTGTGTAGCCCTGGCTGTCCTGGAACTCACTCTGTAGACCAGGCTGGCCTCGAACTCAGAAATTCGCCTGCCTCTGCCTCCCAAGTGCTGGGATTAAAGGTGTGCGCCACCACCACCCTGATAATATATATTTTTACAAAGAAAAAAAAATGGGCACGAGGGCTCACACCTGTAATCCTGTAAACCTGGAGATGGAGGCAGGAGGATCAGGGGTTGAAGACCATGCTTATCCACACGTTGAGTTCAGTCCAGACTGGGTTACAGGAGAACCTGCCTCAATCGATCAAACAATATTTTCATTTTTTTAAAGAAGTTTCTGGTTTGCAGCGAAATTGAGAGGAATTTCGATGCTTTTTCCATCCTGCCTCAGCCTCCCCATTATTAATATCCTCTACCAGATGGATACATTTGTTACACCTGGGGAGCCACCACCTGCATCTCATTATCACCAAAAGCATAATTTACATTAGCATTCACATTGTGTGCATATGTACTGTGTGTGCATTCCTGTGCTCAAATGCAGGCACGTGTCATCAAGCACACCTGGAGGCCAAGGAAACCTCAAATGTCGTCCATACCTTCCATCTTGTTTGAGAGAGGATCTGTGATTTTTTTTCTTTGTGTGTGTGTGTGTGTGTGTGTGTGTGTGTACACCAATCTAGCCAATCTCATTTTCCCCACAGGGGTACTGGGATCACAGATGCTCTTGGTCCAGGGTTATGTGGGTTCTGGAGATTCAGACTCAGGCTCTCAGACTTGCATAGTGCTTTACCCACAGAGCCATCTTCCTGTCTTCAGTGATTTTCATTTATATGAGGTTTCGTGCACCTTCCCACAATGCATAGCGAAGTGCACCCATCCATACAACCTCATAAGAGTATTTTTCAACCCCCCGCCCAGCTTCATGCTCTTCAACCACTGTGTCAAAATAATATGGATTTTAAAAATTAGGAATATCTTTTATTCTTTGACAATTCTATCCACGTAAATAGCATATCTTGGTCATATCCGCCTTATACATTCCCTTCCGTTTCCATGTCCTTTGCTTTGCTTTTTTCTTTCTTCCTTTCTTTCTTTCTTCCTTTCTTTCTTTCTTCCTTCCTTCCTTCCTTCCTTCCTTCCTTTCTTTCTTTCTTTCTTTCTTTCTTTCTTTCTTTCTTTCTTTCTTTCTTTCTTTCTTTTGTAGCTCCAACAGAAGATTAATGCTGCCTGCTAGAATGTTGACAGCTCCTGTTTAGCTTGGCCTTGTGTCTTTGGCAGGCAACAACATCTGAAGTGAGTTCACAGATTCAGTGGCCATGTCATGTCTAGACACAGAAAAGGACGTGAAGTTATGATGAACGTGATCTTACCGAGTTTAAATTTATAACTGAGGATTTCCCTTGTAGGGTCTACCTGCTTGACTGAGGAAGGGTGGAATTTGGCCTTCCCTTCTCACTATCCAATCTATGCCCACAGGCAGAGAAGGTGATGAAGCCCAGCTTTCCAGCACAGAGGGAGCTGAGATCTCCAACAGAAATCAGTCATCTTTGCCCTCTGTTGACTCCTCATATTCTACTTGTCTTATGGTTGGTTGGTTGGTTGGTTGGTTGGTTGGTTGGTTGGTTGGTTTGACACTCCGAGAGTGTCAAAGTCCATATCCATATTACCCATTACAGTGGACACAGACTTACCAGGCTAGGGCTCCATAACCCATAGCTCATAGCTCTTACTGAGGTTGATAGCAGTCATACTCTAGACTGTCCCACAGGCAACGTTTCTCTCAACAGATCTCTAATATTGCTTTGGAGTTGGTAAAAATCCAGGAAGGCTGGGCTCTGAGGCTGGAATTTGAAGCATAGGGCCAGCTGCAAGTTGACGTTCTCCACCTGAACCACCACAACGGCAGATTCTGCATCATCTATCTGGGGTAAGTAGCAGATGTCTTCAACAGCAAGGAACCTCAGCATACCATAGCATAGCATGGGGTCCAAGCTTGAACAGCAGAGGGATGGGTAAAGTCTGTGATCAAGGGCTGAGCTATCATTAGGTCCTGCAGGTGAGGACAGAGAGAAGCAGCGACGGTGTGTGAAGCATGAGCCTGTCTACTGTGAGAACCCAGATGACACCTCTGTGAACCACGGGGAATTCTCTTCATGGTCACCCACTACACTCAGGCTTGACTTTTGAGACCCCTAGTAGCTCAGGGTAGCCTGAGGCTCACCGTGTATTTCAGGGTGGCCTTGTATTCTGCTGGGATTACATATGTGTACCACCACATCCGGTTGATTAGAAATGGTTCTCCTTATTATACGGTTCCGTGTTGGTTTAATTCTTTTTTTAAAATTTTCAAGCAAAAAGCACAAACATCTCTTACAGGGAAGGGGTGGTTTCTGACTCTAATTGTGTCCCTAGGGGTGGGATTGAAATGGAATGAGAAGAGGCAGCAGCACAAAACATTCTAATATATTTGTGGGGACAATCTCTAAAGTGAGCTGATTGGTTGAACTAAGGATATGAGGGGGCAGTTGGGAAAAGCCAGAAAGAGCTGGGAGGGTCTAAGGAAAGAGAGAAGCTTGTTGAGGGGAGCTATGGAATGTGAGTACCACCTCGAGCCTAGAAATGGGCTCTTCCTGTGCTACTTGCTCCCAGTGCTGAGCCCATCATAGATTTATGTTTAGAAACAAGTGCTAAATAAATTTTAATGAATAAATGAATACTTCAAAATTGTCATTATAATTTTCTTTCTGTGCTTGTTTTATCTTTCACGTTGTGCCTGCACAGCTAAACTGGAGTTGGGTCTGGCTCCTGAGAGCATATAGGTCTTTATTCTAAGCCCAGTTTTCTTGCCTGTAGCACAACACCAGCTCTTCAATAAAGTGCAAATAAAATGCTACAACATAGGGTTGGAACCTATCCCATCCCCAGAATTCTTTCTCATTTTTCCTAAATAAATCTATCTTCTCTCTGCTCACAAACAAAAGACCACAACACAGCATGCTCCTCCCCTGTGCATGCTTCTCCCCTGTGTGCTTCTCTAGGCTCACCAACTACAGCCTTTTTGTGATAATCATTTTCAATTCTCCTTAGCCATATTTCTTTTCTTGAGACAGTACCTCACTATGTAGCCCTGGCTCGCCTAGAACTCACCATGTAGGCATTGCTTAGCCACATTCCTCACAGGCAAGTTTCAATGACTGCCCAGCCGTACGTTTCAAGAATTTGTACCCATCAGCGATAACACAACCTTTTGACATAGCAATATGATGCCGTTGTCTCCGAATGTGTTGAGCCGTGTTCTCAAGTATCCTAGATTACATGTAACCCATGGGCCACAGGATGGACACATTCCATCTGTTATCTAACATTCTTGTTTTCATTACCTATAGATGCTTTATTTACAATAGCAGGAAGGGTGCTCCGATCCACCATGACACTTCATGTCTCTAACAGATGAAATCCGGAGATGAGTTCAGTGTACTTAGTAATACAACACTCTCTGTCTGCTTCTCTTTGTATGCATGGTGTGTGTGTGTGTGTGTGTGTGTGTGTGTGATCATGTGACTGCTTGTGCATGTGTTTGTACATGTGGAGACCTGAAGTTAATATCAGACCTTTTCCTTTCTTGTCCTCTACCTTTCTTTGAGGAAAGGTCTCTTACTGAATCTGGAGCTCATCCATTCGGCTGAGGTAGCTGACCAACAAGCGCCAGGGATCGACCTCTCTCTAGTCCCCCATCCCCGAGTTACAGATACACGTGCCATGCATGCTGACTTTTATATGGCCCCTGAGATTGAAAGTCAGTCTTTGTGCTTGTAGGGCAGACACTCTGTTGACTAAGCCATTGTGGTGATTTATATATGCCTGGTCCAGAGAGTGGCATGATGAAGAGGTGTGGCCTTGTTGGAGTAGGTGTGTCACTGTGAGCATGGGCTCTAAGACCCTCATCCTAGCTGGCTGGAAGTCCGTCTTCTCCAAGTGGTCTGAAGATGAAGATGTAGAACTCTTAGCTCCTCCCGCACCATGACTGCCTGGATGCTGCCATGCTCCTGCCTTGATGATAATGACCTGAACCTCTAAACCTATAAGCCAGCCCCAATTAAAGGTTGTCCTTGTATGAGTTGCTTTGGTCATGGTGTCTGTTCACATCAGTGAAACCCTAAGACAGCTATCTTCCTAGCCCACTTCCAACTTCTGATTGATCAAAACAAGTTCTGTTAAAATTGAGCCCCCCACCCCCCAATTTCCCAAAAGACCATTGGGCCATCAACACGGCTCAGTAAGTAAAGGCATCTGTTGTCTAGACTGAGGACCTGAGTTTTCCCGGGACCCACAGGAGAGAAGAAGCACTGTCCTCTGACCTTCACATACAAGCATGCCCTCCTCTCCTGCCCCCCTACATAAAAAATAAAGCATAATTTAAAAAAAATAGTGAGCTTTCAGAAAAAAATAGAAAATAATATTGTCCAAATTTCAAACAATACTAAGAATTACTAGAATTAACTTGAGTTACGGCTTTATGGGATTGTGAAAAATTTTCAAAAGGGCAATACATCTAATGCTTCAGTCCCAAGTTTTAAAGTTTCAAAGAAGTCTGAGGAAAGTCCAACATCTGCTGAGCCTACTCACAGATATCACAGAGAGAAGTGAGTTTAGAGAGGGCTCAGTTGAGAGTTAACTACACTTCAACAGTTTGTCTAGAATGGTTATGTCTCGAGGCCAAATATATTCATGTTGTATCTCCACCTTTCCTAACTGCTAACCACATGACTCTTACGGCATCTCTATGTAAGTCACTGAAGTAAGTGCCTCACTTGGTGAGGAGCAATCGTGACACCTTTCTTAAGGTTTGGATTTTCTTTTATTATCTTTTTATTATTGTGTATGTGCAAGGACATGGTGCACATACATGTGCATGCACAGTGCATACCACAGTGCACTGGGATAGAGGTTAAAGGTCAACTTTCGAAAGCTGATTCTTTTCTTCCGACACATGGGGTCTAGGGATGGGACCCAGGTTGTCGCAAGTGCCTTAACCTGAAGAGCCATCTCACCACCCCCAGGTAAAGGTTTTATTTTTGTTTTTGTGAAAGGGAGTCTCATATTCCAAGCTAGCCTTGGCTTCCCTATTTAGACCTTGAACTCTTTGTCCTACCTACAAATGCAGGGATTACTGGTGAGCCATCACATCTGGCTCTTGTTGCTGTTTGTGAGGCAGCAGTCCAGGCTGACCTCGAACTACAAATCCTCCAGCCTCAGTTGCCTTCGTGCTGGGATTACAGAGAAGAGCCAGTATATCCGATTGTACTTTCAATTACTAAATTGTATTTACTACTGAGTGAATGATGACAGACTTTTGGTGACTGTCACTAGTCAGTCCATAAGGTATATTTAAGGCTGGAGAGGGTAGGTAGGTGAAAGACAAGAGCCTGAGTTCAAATCTCAAGCACCCACATCAAAAAGCCCGGCATAGGCATGTATGCCTGTAACCTCAACTTTGGGAAGTGAGTGTAGGCAGATCCTAGGAGCTTCCTGGCAAGACAACCTACCCCAGAGGAGAAGGTTCAGGATCAGGGAGAAATTCTTGATTCAAGGGAATTGAGGCAGAGGGATAGAAGACACCTGATGTCCTCCTCGCCTGTACATATATAACACCCTCCATTCCATACAAGATAAAAAGTATGTGCAACATAGTATCCCTCCTTCATACAGCTGCCATTTGTATCTTTAGGACAGATAATATTTATATTAGACATGTACAATTGTCCTATTGCCTCTTACTGCTGAGAATCATCCTTCACAGTTTTGGGGTATGAGGTGAGGGAGTTATAGAATAAAATAATTCCGGGCAGTGGTGGCGCACGCCTTTAATCCCAGCACTTGGGAGGCAGAGACAGGTGGATTTCTGAGTTCGAGGCCAGCCTGGTCTACAGCGTGAGTTCCAGGACAGCCAGGGCTACACAGAGAAACCCTGTCTCAAACAACAACAACAAAAAACATTTAAAAAATCACTCCAGTCCAGATGGTCACCTTGTTTGATGAGATTTGGTTAAGAAGTAACCACTTTTATTTCTCTTTATATTAAGCAATCAAAATTAGGAGAGCCCCGTTTTCCCATTTCATTTGATTGGATGAAAACTGAGGAATGGTGGGCCTGGAGGCACAGGCCTGTCATCCCAGCTACTCAGGAGACTGAGGCAGGAGGTTTAAAAGTTCAAGGCAAATCCAAGTTGTTTCAAGAGCCTGTCTGGAAACACCCAAGAGGTAGAAGTAGGCAGAGGTCTGAGTTCAAGACCAGAGTTGTCTACATAGCGGGTTTCAGGCCACACGAGTGAGCAACACAGTGAGACCCAGTCTCAAAACTCAACCAACAGAGTAACAAACAGCAGCGATGATGAAACAAGAGGACACGGCAGCACATGAAGGTAGAGACAGGAGGAGCAAGTGTTCAAGACCAGCGTCTCTCAGGCTGGAGAGATGGCTCAGTGATTAAGAGTGCTGGCTCCTCTTCCAAAGGAGTGGATTCAATTTCCAGCACCCACGTGGTCGCTCACAAACATCGGTAACCCCAGTCTCATATAAAAATAATAAAGCTAAAACAAAACAAACAAACAAACAAAAAACCTAGCTGCTACATAGCTGCTACATAGCTGTCTAAGGCCAAACTGAGCTATCTGAAATTGTCTCAAAAAAAAAAAAAAAGTTTGAGAAAGGACTGACAGTGTGGTCTAGCCTACCTACCTATGTGTCTACCTAGCATGCACTAGTTCTTATGTTCAATTACCACTATCAAATAAAAGAAAATAAAGGAACTAAGGAAGGGAAAGTTTGTTTACAGTAGGGTCGTGCTATGCAGTCCAACCTGGCTTTGAATTTTAGACCCACCTGCCTCAGCCTCAAGAGCGCTAAAACTATAGGTGAGCATCACCGTGCCCAGCTGGAGAGAAAACGTTATGAAGCGGTACGCGGGTTTCATGAGGGAAGCTAGTGATAATACCACGGTTGCATCAGAATGTACCCGGTGCATTGTGGGAACACTATGAAAGCAGCAAGCATGGCGGGAGGGAATAATGAGCTTGGGGTGCACATACATAGCGGCGTTCCCGGCACAGCCAAGCATTTCCAATACAAGTAGCGGCACCTGTCGGTTTTAAAAGCTTAGGATGTGGTCTACACCCATCCCACTTGAGACAACGACTAACAACCCACGCGTACGCACACGATAAATAAATGAAATGTAATTTTTTTTTTAAAAAAGTAGTGGTATCTATGCTCTCTTGTCTCAGGACTTGGTCAGATTGTAACTTCGGCGATTCCCAAATACCTATGCTATTTTTGCCTATAGGTAGGTAGTCTTTACACCTACGATGAGAAATGATCTTAGCAAACCCTCCACCCACCTGCGGTTTTTTTTGTTTTTCAATTGAGTAATTTACTTTACATTCCGACCATAGTTTCCCCTTCTTTTTCTCCTCCCGGTCCTTCTCCACACCCCGCTCCCCACCATTCTCCACTTCTCCTCCCTTTCTTCTTCAGCCAGCCTTGGCAGTAAAACTAAGCACAACTCAAATCCTCTCCGACAGAGGCTAGACAAGGCAGTCCTGTTAGGGGAGAGGGTCCCAAAGATGGCAGCAGAGTCAGAGAAGGCCCCTGCTTCTGCCGTCAGGAGTCCCACAGGAAAACCAGGCTGTACAAGGGTTACATACGTGCAGAGGGCCTAGATCAGTCCA